CTAACCTAACCTAACCTAACCTAACCTAACCTAACCTAACCTAACCTAACCTAACCTAACCTAACCTAACCTAACCTCAACCTAACCTAACCTAACCTAACCTAACCTAACCTAACCTAACCTAACCTAACCTAACCTAACCTAACCTAACCTAACCTAACCTAACCTAACCTAACCTAACCTAACCTAACCTAACCTAACCTAACCTAACCTAACCTAACCTAACCTAACCTAACCTAACCTAACCTAACCTAACCTAACCTAACCTAACCTAACCTAACCTAACCTAACCTAACCTAACCTAACCTAACCTAACCTAACCTAACCTAACCTAACCTAACCTAACCTAACCTAACCTAACCTAACCTAACCTAACCTAACCCAACCTAACCTAACCTAACCTAACCTAACCTAACCTAACCTAACCTAACCTAACCTAACCTAACCTAACCCAACCCAACCTAACCCGCCGTTCCGTCCCGCCCGCCGACGCGTACGCCACGTTTTCGAACCGCTCCTGTGCTTTAAAATCCTTAAAAATAGTCAAAGTTCCCCGATTTTCTTGAAATTTTCTGTGAATGTGTGTTTTGTGCTGTGCTATCCTGTGGTAGTGTTGGTTCAGTGGTTTTTGAAGATTTGGGTCGTTTTTGCTGAAGTTTTCTCTCAGGGATAACCTAAAAATTGCAAAAGGTAATATTTTTATAATACTTTTTGCTTACGCTGCCTTATTAAGATCAGTAACCTATATGGTTTTTTATGTCATCTTGTAGGTCTTATTAGGGTCTATATATCCCCGTTTATTTCAGATTTTTGCGCCCAAGAACCATTGAATTATTACACTTTTCCTAAAAAACCACGTGGCGTAAAATTTTTTTCTATACGCCTGTGCTTATTTTGTGGCACGCTTTTGGATAGGGCACGTCTTGCGCAACACACCTAAACTTTTTTCATGAAAATCGGAGTTGAAACCACGAAGTTATTAACGTTTAAACAGTTTTTGTTTACAATGAAAAAATTCTAGATCGAATATTTCGTGATTTTCAGCGACGACCTATACTTTTTATTTCATTTTATTGTGGGCGTTTTAGCCAGGAAAGTCTTCGCCGAAAATGAGATTTTTCTACTGTAGCGTTTAAATTTTATGGATTTTTTAACGAAAAAGTCCTTCCACGAGGACCTACTTCCAGACCTCTGCGGCTACTTCTGCATTTACCTTAAATTAGATACACAATTTTAATATAGATTTCCGTTTTTAGAGTTTCATTTGCTTATCTAGTTTCATAATTACGCAATTTTTTGTGTTTCTTTTTTGTTTTTTCGTTATTTATTACAAATAAATAATAATTCTCCAAATATCATCAAATCTTCATAATCCGCTCATTGTGAGCTATCCGTAGAGCCCAAACTCGACTATATTATCTGTTATAATTCCAAAGTTAGATAAATTTAAACTAACTGGCCGCCATATTGGAAAGTTCATTTTTTGAATTCCTCGTGAAGTTATTGGCCGAAATTGGTCGTGTGTGGACTTAAATTTATCAGGAGAGCTTAAATAAAGCGGTTATATAGTCAGCGTGAGGCAAAAAATTTAGGTGGCCATTAGCCCATAAACACATTCTCTATATTATTCCCTACAGATTGAGCCCAAACTCGAGCCGTTTCGATTAATAAACACCTCCTTGGCAACGGAAATAATAATCAAGTCGGCCATATTGGAAATTTTATTTTTCGAATTTCTTGCGAAGTTACTGGCCAAAAGTGGCCGTGTTTGGACTTAAATTGATCAGGAGAGCCTAAGGAAGGCGATTGTATAGTCAGTGTGAGGAAAAAATTTAGGTGGCCATTAGCCCATAAACACATTCTGTATATTATTCCCTACAGATTGAGCCCAAACTCGAGCCGTTTCGATAAATAAACACAGTCTTGGCAACGGAAATAATAATCAAGTCGGCCATATTGGAAATTTTATTTTTTGAATTTCTCGCGAAGTTACCGGCCAAAAGTGGTCGTGTTTGGACTTAATTCAATCAGGAAGGTTTGGGTGAAGCGATAGTTTGGTCAGTGGACGAAAATATTTAGGAGGCCCACTAGTCCAAAAAATACGCTCTCTATATTATTCACCACAGTTTGATTCTAGTCTCGAGTTAACTGTTTAATAGGTACCGCTTTGGCAACGAAAAGAGTTATTGAATAGGCCATATTGGAAAATTTCAACCGTAAATTGCTCAGAACATACAAAATCTAGACCACCCGTGCTAGGGCTCAAATAACTGGGCATCAGGCAAGGTATCTAAAAGACCTATAGATTACTCAATTTACCCGACCTCCGACAAAAAAAAAAAAAAAAAAAACTGCCAAAATGTCAACCAAATCCACCATCTCTGGCGCTGGCACAGCTAAAACAAGGTCTTCTAAGACAAGCAGAGCTGCGAGTCCAACTCCCAGTGGTCTGCGTAAGAAGGTCTTATTACAGAATGCAGCTACGTCTGGAAAAACTGCAGATGAAGCATTCGCTAGCAAGAACTATATTGTCACCGAGCCGTGCACTGATACAGCCAGTTCTGCCCAATCAAGCAAGGGTACCGGGGAAGAGGGCGATCAGGCTAAGCAGCCCGAACCAGTAACGCGTGAAGAAGTGACAGAAGCTAGCTCGGTTACAATGGACTTGGAAAAAGAGCTAGCCTTATTAGGGCAATGCAAGCCGGTACGGGAAACCGACGACGACTGGTCCGAAGGAGACAGCATCTATAGTACTAACAGCAGAAGGTCGAGTATACTGCCTCCCACCTATAAACGAGCGGGAATATCTATGGACCTAGCTACACAACGCGCCAATGACTTCCTGCAATCTGGCAAGGAAGCCCTAGAAAAAGCGGGCAACATGAAGAGAGAGTGCAAAAGTGAGGTGCACGACTCTCTTCAAGGCTTATATGAAACGGTGCTGTCACTTTCCGACTCCCGCTCGCGACACCGGCTAGCCCTAGAACAAGAAAAATGTCGAGCAGCTAAGGAATTAGTTAGAATAGAAAGAGCGCACAATAAGCAACTGGCAGAGATTCAAACACTGCATCACAATAAGATTAAAGAGATATTCGAAGCAGTGAAAAGTTCGGTTAGTGGTGTTGAGGCAATCCGCAGCTGGCTGAATTACGAAATGGATGAACCTCTTAAAACCATTAACAAAATTCAAGCAGAAGTGCGAGGCTTAGCAACCAAAGCACAACCACCGCTAGCTGGGACTAGCTCGATTGCGTGCACGAAGACCTGCACTGAGTATCTTACGCACCTCAACGGAAAGATAGCCGATATGACTAACCAGCTTGTAGGTCTGACCATGTCAATCAACGAGCTTTCTAAGCTTCAAGCTGAAGAACCGCCACACCTGCCGGTCCAAACAGAAATAAGAGCCCCAGATGATTGTCGTTTTGGAGAAATAATAAACCATATTCTTGAAACCAAAGATATGATACAGACCCTTCAAAACATCCCACCAACAGGAATAGACCAAAGAAAAGAGCTAGAAGCGGCGTTGCATCCGATAGCTCATATGGTTAAAACCTTACTAACAGAGATAAATGAGCTAAAGGATTGCACCACCGCACATGCGGCATTTCAAGGAAATTCAGGGCTAGGTACCGAGCTGGCCGTAACGGATATTAAGGATAAAATAGAAGAGTTAAGAAAAGTCTTTAGTAATAGACAGAATACAGACTACAACAAAAAGGAAGACCATGACAACAAAACAGCGCCACAACCATCAGTTACAAAGTCATCTTCACCGCATAAACTTACATACGCTGAAGCTACGGTAACGCCTCGATACGCAATGGTCCTGGAATCTATAGACCCGCGATCCACGAGCGACGAGATCCTGAAACAGGTTAAAAAAAGAGGTTGACCCAGTTAAACTTGGTGTTGGCGTGAACAGAATAACTAAAATAAGGAATCAAAGAGTTATTATCAGCTGTGATTCACAACTAGATAGGCAAACCTTAAAAAAAGCGATTAGAGATACATGCAACAGTCTGACTGTTTCAACCACTTCTGTAAAACATCCTCAGTTACGCCTAATAGGTATCACTAATGAGCTTAATGACGATAAGCTAGTAAAAGCAATTCTTAGTCAAAACTCAAAATTAATTACAGACTTAGACGATGAACAAAAATTCGCTAAAGTTCTTCGCAGAACTAAAGGCAGGACACGAGACCTAATCAATGTTATTCTGGAAGTCACGCCGCAAATGTGGATTCGACTAAAGGACCAGAAATTGCGTATAGGTTTTCAGGTAATCCCCTGCTTTGATCAGTCTCCTCTTATACAGTGCTACAAGTGCCTGAAATTCAATCATAGAGCGAAAGATTGCACAAATGACCTAATCTGCGGGTACTGCTCTGGAAGCCATGATACAAGGACATGCTCGAACAGAAACGTGGCTCCATCCTGCAATAATTGCAACAGATCGGGTAAAGAAAATGCTACCCATCCCGCATATAGCCCCGAGTGTCCAGAGTGGCAAAAATGGGACAATATATCAAGGAGCTCTGTGTCATACTGTTAAGACTTGGTTTACCAAACTAATGAAACAGGAACACCAGGTAATCTCGATAGCAAAAAAATTGTTAAAGTGGCACAATACAACCTTGATCGAGGCCGCGCGGCAACACTTGAGTGCTTACGGGCTGCAACCACACAAGGCTTTTCCATCATATTGATGCAGGAACCTTATGTTGGGGCAAAGGCACACTTAACTGTGGGCCCGCAATACCGTGTAATCCAAAAAGTTAGTAATGACATCAATAAGCCAGTGAGATCTGCAATAGTTGTCTTAGACCCTAACATTAACTTCACCATTAACCCAAACATACTAACCGAAGACATCGTAGGTATAGTACTAAAAATAGGTAATCTTAACATTGGCTTCATCAGCATCTACTTGCATGAAAAAGGCGTAATTGAAGAAGACTTAATAACGATTAAGAATTTTGTGAAAGCAATGCAGACAGAAGATATTATCATCGGTGGCGATGCAAATGCCAGTAGCATCTGGTGGGGCTGCAAAGCAGATGACAACAGAGGAACACAGGTTATGGAAACATTAGCTGAACTTAACTTGGAGGTAGTTAATACGGGAAAAAAGCCTACTTTTAGTGCATACAGAAGAGACACCATCTGCTCCAGCATTATAGACATTACCGCCTGTACAACATCACTATTGCATAAGATTGAGAATTGGAGAGTTGACGATTCCTTTTGTACTTTATCTAATCATAAGCCAATTCTTTTCAAATTTAGTACGACAACTTCATTTATTGAGTCAAAAATCAACAGCACCAGGAAATACAACACAAGGAAAGCAAACTGGAGCCATTTCAACGTTGAACTCAAGAGGGCACTAGACAACAACGGCCTAACCAAAGAAAGAATAGGAGTTATTAGGACGACACAGGAGATTGATGAATTCGTAAAAACATATACAGAATGCATAACAAAGGCATGCGATGAGACGATTCCGAAAATAGAACGAAAACAGTTACCAAAAGCCGCTAAATGGTGGAACACCGAAATTAAAGAAAAAAAGGAGATCATGATCAGATTACGAAGAAGAATAAGGAATGCACACCCTACAAGAAAGAACTGGGTCATAGAACAATATCTCGAAGCACGAAAACAATATAAGGAAAGTATAGAAGACGCCACAACCAAAAGCTGGAAAGAACTATGCACGAACGAGCAGAAAGAAAACGTGTGGCAACGCACATATCGGATATTGAAGGTCTGTTCTAATGTGGAGGGAGACAAACTGCTCAAAGACCAAAATGGGACAATCCTTTCAGAAAAAGGGTCAGCAACACTTCTAGCTGAAACCTTTTACCCCAAAGATAATCCAAACACCGATACTAAGGAACAGGATGACATAAGAACAAAAACAAATGAACTTATAGCACAACTCGAAAACAAAGCATTAGAAGTTAAGACACCATTCGCTAGAACTGAAATAGATCAAATACTAAGCAACATGAGTCCTAAAAAAGCCCCGGGTGAGGATGGCCTGACATCCGATATATGCCAAACAGCTTATAATAGTAACCCAGAAGTGCTGGAACTACTCTACAATAAGTGCCTCGAACTGGGATATTTCCCCAAAGATTGGAAAAAGGCAACTATTAAAGTAATCCCAAAACCCAGTAAAGAAGATTATACCAATCCAAAGGCATACAGACCCATTGGCTTGCTACCAGTACTGGGTAAAATACTGGAAAAACTTTTTACGAATAGAATCCAGTGGCAGTTAGGAAAAGACGAAAAATTGAACCAGAGACAATATGGATTCACTCCACAGAGAAGCACGGAGGATGCGCTATATGATACTATTACACTAATTAAGAATGGACTTAAGAAGAAAGAAATAGTCATAATAGTGTCATTAGATATTGAGGGCGCATTCGATAATGCATGGTGGCCTGCTATTATCACTGAACTTAAAAACAAACAGGTTGAACCTATGGTGTTAAGACTCATAATTAGCTACTTATCAGATCGTGAAATAAACTTAAGTTACGCAAACGAAAAGATCACTATAAAAACCAATAAAGGATGTATTCAAGGATCAACTTGCGGTCCCATGCTGTGGAATATCCAACTTGATCCCCTATTACAGGCAACGGAAAACGCGGGAGCTCACGTTCAAGCCTTTGCGGACGACATATTAATAATAGCCTCGAACAAAGATGGCCAAAAACTTGAAAAGGATGTTAATGATACACTTAAAACAATAGTAGAGTGGGGACAAAGACACAAGCTTAAATTTGCCCCACATAAGACTCAAAGTACAATAATTACCAAAAAGCATAAATTCCATTGTCCCAAACTGCTAATGGATGGTGTAACCTTAACGTATATAGATCAAATCAAAATTTTAGGATTAATTATTGATAAAAACTTTAACTTTAAGCCACATTTAGATTATGTTTGCAGTAAAGCAGTTCGACTCTACAAAATGGTATCAAGAGCAGCAAGAGCGCAATGGGGTCTCAACTCGGACATAGTAAGAACCATCTACCAGGCTGTAGTTGAACCAACTATTTTGTATGCTGCGAGCTGCTGGGCAGAAGCCACAAATAAAAAATACATAAGCCGAATGCTCAATAGGCTTACACGAATGTTTAGCATTCGTATTTGCAAAGGCCATAAAACCATTTCCCTTGTTTCCAGTGCGCTACTAGCTCAGATTATACCTCTAGCGCTACGAGCCAAGGAAAACGCCGAATTGTACGAAATCAAAAGAGGCAAGCCCATTGAGTCACTCCCTGGGAGACAATTGGAAATGAGAATCAGTCCTTTCCACTTACCACACCCCTCACTAAGAACCAAGAGGGAGTACAAGCTAATAACCTGCCAAGAAGACATCGATCAAATTGACAATGACTGGCCAAAGCTTTATACAGACGGCAGTAAAATAGACAATAAGGTAGGTGCGGCTGTTTCAGTATGGCAAAATGGAACGGAAACCAAAACCATCACCTGTAGGCTCGAAAGCTACTGCAGCGTATACCAAGCCGAGCTAATTGCAATTTTGAAGGCAGTTACATATATGTTAGAAAAGAAAAACCTTAAAGCCAACATCCTTAGTGACTCTAGATCGGCAGTAATAACTCTTTGTAATTCTACGTCACTTAATCCTATTGCAGCTGAAATTTCATCGAAGCTCAATACTATCGAAAATAAAGAGGGAAAAGTCCAGATATACTGGATAAAAGCTCATTGTGGCTTAGTAGGTAATGAGAGAGCAGATGAGCTGGCTAAATATGCCGCTACTAGCAAAAAACAGAGGGCAATTTATGACTTATTCCCATTGTCTTACGCCAAGCACCTCACCAGGAGCAGCACTCTGCTAAGATGGCAAATCAAATATGAAGAGGCAGCAACCAGTGGAACCATAAGAACTTTCTTCCCAAATGTTATAACTGCTTATAAGATTTTAAAAAGTATAAAAATAACTAATATTGTAACTCAATTGTTTACCGGTCACGGTGGTAATAAAGCTTATCTTTTTAGATTTAAGATTTTGCCATCCCCATATTGCACATGCGATGATAGTACAGAACAAACCATAGAACATTTAATTACAGAATGTCCGCGATTTGGAAAACAACGGTATGAGTGTGAATGCAATATGGGAGTGAATATAGTATGTAAGAACTTAAGTACTATTATGACGGACATCGATTGCAGATCTCACTTCATACACTTTGCTCTCTCAATACTTAAGGTTATTAACAAAGAGAATGGGAGCACTATAGTAGAATAAATTTATGTCTCTGTAAAGTCCCTACAATAAAACCATTATGAATGTGAATTTAACTAAAGTAATAATAATGAACTAATAATAATATGATATAAGCATACATTTTGATAACGTTAGGCTAATAATAACTTGCAAGTAGTAGAATGTTTAAAAGTAAGCTAAAACAGATTATCTTAACAATTGTTATTAAATAGGATAAATAAGTGTAGATAAACTGTACAAAGTAACAAAGCAATAACCATTATAACCGGAACACTATGCTTAAAAATAATTGCAAGTTAGTTTAAACAAAGCCTCATGTTAAGAATTAAGAATATTATTAAAACTAGGCCCAAAACAAAAGTACATTATTTATTTAAGGTGACATTATTGTAAAATTAGGAATTGTTCATAAGAGACAAATTAAAAGATACAAAGTAATAACATTATAAAGTCTGAAACAGTATACCTATACATAGAACTATATTCAGAATTGTTATAAAATTAGATTAATTATAGAAGATAATATTATGATAACTGTAAAAAGAACATGTAATAGTATATTGAAACAATGTGTAAACGGAACGGAACTATTTAAGTATATATATATAATATAAGTATTAAAAAAAAAAAAAAAAAAAAAAAAAAAAAACCATTGATAACATTAAAAAAAAGGATTATCTTCAACAGAAAGAAAGGTACTGCAGAATAGCAGTAGTAAAATAGTATTAAAAAAAAAAAAAAAAAAAAAAAAAACCTAACCTAACCTAACCTAACCTAACCTAACCTAACCTAACCTAACCTAACCTAACCTAACCTAACCTAACCTAACCTAACCTAACCTAACCTAACCTAACCTAACCTAACCTAACCTAACCTAACCTAACCTAACCTAACCTAACCTAACCTAACCTAACCTAACCTAACCTAACCTAACCTAACCTAACCTAACCTAACCTAACCTAACCTAACCTAACCTAACCTAACCTAACCTAACCTAACCTAACCTAACCTAACCTAACCTAACCTAACCTAACCTAACCTAACCTAACCTAACCTAACCTAACCTAACCTAACCTAACCTAACCTAACCAAACCTAACCTAACCTAACCTAACCTAACCTAACCTAACCTAACCTAACCTAACCTAACCTAACCTAACCTAACCAAACCTAACCAAAAATAACCTAACTAAAAAAAAACCTAACCTAACCTAACCTAACCTAACCTAACCTAACCTAACCTAACCTAACCTAACCTAACCTAACCTAACCTAACCAGTTGCGCTCCAAACGCCGTGTCGTTCGCAGCATTTTTATACCGCTCCGTACATTAAAAATCAGAGTTGTCGGGTCGAAGTGCACCAAATTATAAAGTATTATATATCGAAAGACGCGTCTCACCGAGGCGAATACGAGTGATATGTGAAAAAAGTGATATAAGTGCGAAAAACAGTTGAAATAATCAGAGAAAAACGATATTTTCTTAACCTTAAAAACTTAAAAAGTGAAACGCTGCTAGAACCAAATCGATAACATAGAGTTCTTAAAGTGTCATAAAGTTGCGCCTTAACTAGCTCCACAGTTCTGCGTAAGCAGTCAGATTTTTTCGAAGCTTCGCGCACGGAAATATAGACTAAAAAACAAAACCACGTGGACACGTGTTTTTTGATCTGAGGTACGTGCGGCTGATTTTGACGACGCCATCGAGGAGAACACAATCAAACAAAACGTTCGACACCTTTGATCATAAAATCGGACAAGAAAGCACGAAGATATTACACCATGAATAAACAGATTTTCAGTAAAAAACTTTCAAAGTGAATATCTCTGGAATTTCAGCGACAAGCATATGTATGTTGACTTTTGTGCCCATCCAGAGAAGCAACCAAAGACTTAAAGAATTGGACATCAAAAAGTTTAAATTTTTTGGAGTGCAAATAATAATAGTAAGGAAAATTTTAAATAATTGCAAATGTAACACGTGGGGTCCTGAAAAGCACTCCTGAAAAATCTGAAAAAATTCAAAGGACATTGCTCAACCTAAATATAATCAGCCCAAATTATTTCAAAATTTTTCAATTTATATTTACTTGAGTTACACGCTATTTGCGGTTGTTGGTTTTTATAAATAGTTTTTCAAAATTTCAAATTCTCAAAAAATTTTCAGAAATAAAAATCTACCTATTACAATTTATAATACATAAACCTATTTTATACGCTATTTACAAAAATATTTTTTGCAAAATTTTCGAAGTAGCACTTTCGGAGTATACCGAATTTAATTGTAAGAGCTAGAGGTCCTGAAAACTGCACCGTAACTGTGTTTTCAGTTTACAGGAAAACGGAGCCTCCTAGCTATTTGACAATTGCCTATCCAGCTAACGGATAGTCTTCGGACCCCACCGGATCATTTGGACATAGTTTCAACCCCCCTACCCCTAAGTTGACCTCTGGACTTGGAGACCGTGGACCCAAACTGTCTCTGGGGGTTGAAAAACTTCTAACACCTAAAACACAAAAACCGGTGGGTCTAGTCGAACGGGGTTTTTTTTGTATAAATATATAGATTAGTAGAACCTTAAAATTATATGTACATAAACTCTACGTAGAGCCATAAAATTTTTATATATATTTTTTATTTTTTTATTTTTTATTTTTTATATCCTATTTTCTATAACTTTATAAAGATTCGTTTTATGTTACATATAATTTAACTCTACAATCTCTCTTAGTGTAAATAATTAGAAACTAGGTGTGACCAGTTGTAGTTTAAATTAATTGCTATTTTTTAAGTTAGAGTATAGAGACAACCCCAGATAGAGAACCTGACAGAGCCGGACTCTTGATAGAGCCGGGCTCTTGATAGAGTCGGACTCTTTATAGAGCCGGACTCTTGACAGAGCTGAATTTTGATAGAGCCCGACTCTTGATAGAGCCGGACTCTTGGTGGAGCCGGACTCTTGAAAGAGCCGGAATTTTTTGTAGAGTCGGACTCTTGATAGGAGGAGTCAAGAAATTGTTTCAATAATTTTATATTACCTCTATTTTATTGTTCTACATAGAGTCACACGGATAGTCTGGTAGAGTTGGACTCTACCTTATTTTAATTTTGACTAGTTTTATTTTATAGTGACACAGACCCCCCTTTACAGGGTCTAACAAATATTTACATACAAACCCCCCTTTACAGGGTTTCACACAGGGACATAGGTGACACAGACCCCCCTTTACAGGGTCTAACAAAACATTTTACACACAGACCCCCTTTTACAAGGTTTTACAAAGAGACAACGTTCCCCGATTACACAACCTACACAAACACCGTACTCATACACACACACACAAACCATGTATCGCACACCCACTACCTCTGGCGCTGCCAAAAAGCCCACCACCCCCAGCCCTGCCACCACAACAGCAGCAGTACAGGATGCTGCTAGAACTTTTATCAAGAGACCGGAAGCTAAAAGAAGATCGCTCGACAATATGGATATTTATAAAAGACAAAAAGACAACTACGCTGCATTGTCGAGCGATCAGCTCCTCCAGGAGATGATGAAAACCTTTGAGGATATACCCTCAAAGGTACAGGAGTACCCTCAGATGAGGAAGGACATCAAACATTTCCTGGAGGTGCAGTCCGACAAGGGCATAAGGACAATATTCGAGCTTAGCAGAAGAATACAAAGTCTTGAAGCAGAGGCCTTAAAAATAAGATCACCGGAAAAAACCTTGTCGTCCAAAGGGCTTGAAAACATCATGGAGAAACTGGGGGGAGGTGGAGGACTCATTGTTAGGGCGTATGAAAGAAATGGAGGAAAGTCTCAAAGCAGACATTGAGGGACTTTCAAACGCAAACGACGACCGAGGCTCTGACATGATCGACAAGATCATCGATAGGATTGATGAAACCAGGGCTGCCATAGACGAAACTACCGAAAAGGTCGAGAGTCGAACGCATGCTCTGGTTAAAGATCTTATCGGTGGTATTGCCGATGATGTCATCGCAGCTAAAAAAGACCTCATGGAGGTCACAAAAGGACTGGTATGTGAAATAAACACAGCACCGGTCCTTAAATCATATGCTAGCGTCGTAGCAACAAAACCAGCTCATCGCCCTGCATTGCACTCTATGGCGGTCACCTTCGAAGGTGGTCTGGAGACTGCTGACGAGGTGCTCGCCAGAGTGAAAAAAGCGGTCGACGCCAGGGGT